GAAGACCGTAAGCTCTCCATGAGAGTTCACATGACGTCGCTGCAACACACACACACACACACACACACATACACATGCACGCACAGATAGACACATACATGCTTACACACATACACACGTACAAAATAACATACATACACACACATACACACGAACCCACACCCGCATCAACTTCTATCTTTCTATCTATTTTACTACAATTACAAAGCAAGTCCCATACTAGATGCTTTTGGACGACTATAGCGGATAGCTCGTCACCTTTTTCTTCCGCAATGCAACGTTTCCGTTACAAGGTGGTAGGAGAAGTAACGCCTCCTTTATACCGGCGGCTGAGGTGTTTTGCAGTGATAAATTATCTTTCAACACAGTCGTTTGCAAGTTTATCCCGCCTACTTTCCATTTAGTCTTTCTATGCATCAGAATGTTAGAATTCGCCCAAATTCTAGTGCAGAAAACTGTACGACGGCTATGAAACGACACACATTCCGGTTGTCAAGTTAAAAAGTACCAGAGACTGTGTTTCGAAGAAGTTTGCAAAGGTTATTAGTCTGACATCGTTTGGGTGTAGGAGAGATGAGAACCTTGACGACACATCGCCAGTGATTTATTACCGTCGCACTGTAGACGGAGCGACCGATTTGGATATCATTATCACAGTTTGGCATGCCTTTCATGTGACTGACCCTTTCAATCTCAACACTGTCATTGATTTCGTACCATCCTTTCAACCTTATTGCTCCAGTACTCGGACGAGTAACTTCCTATCTCACCCTCTTAGTTTTTAAATGTCATACTCTCACGTAATTGGTTTAAAGTAAAGAATTTAGTTTAATGATTGTAGAAGAAATTAGTTAGACTAGCTTATGTTTCAACGTAGTGAAACAATCACAGTTGCTTAGATGCTTTCTTTAGGCGATCACACAGTTTCAATGTACCGTATTACCAGTTGCCTGCTCGTTTTAAGTGTTCTGCTGAAGTTTTTATCTATAACCTTATACAATTGGTTAAAATATGCTTTTATCTAGCAATTTCAGAAATTGAAAAACCGTGTCTCTTGACAACTCACTTTCATTCATGTGTCGTCTGCCTGTGTCTGAAGACTAGTCGAACTTGAAATAAACTGCTCTTTCTACTTGTTGTTGATCTTTAAATGAATGAAATGTTTAAAACTTTCGCAGCACTCAGAGTGATACCTGCTAGTAGCACCATGAAGATTTCCAATTCGAATGACCTCTAGCACAAACGACTTCGTTAAGAGTTACGTCGTCTCACATTCACATTCCGTCTCACATCACATTTTGGTGTATGAAACGAGACTAGTTGCGTTCTGCTCGGTAGTGGATTCATATCAATAGATTCATTCAATAACTATCTGTTATTCTTCTCCACATTCTCTGCTCATCGTCTGCCTTTTTGCCGTACCGATCGTTACTGTTCATTGATTTAAAAAAGCGAATTATATAGTTTCCAAACAGAGAACAAGTGTTTCACATGCTTCTGTCACATCACGTTATTGGACCGGCACACTTCCACGTCAAGCAGTTTTATTTCTACCGATACGCTTAAAAACTCCACAGTTGTTATGATTTTAGATCGATTTCCTGAATTGGTCTTTCTGAGATATTCGTTTTGTAGAGGTGCTGTTCGCTGTAATAGAACGGGACCATAGACTAAATCTTGGAGGAAATACGGCTGCAGTTCAAAATGAATTTCGTTCATTGTTTCATGATAATGCAAATCAGGCTAGTCACTGCATAATTGTCCATACTTCTATTTTGCCATTCGTTTTGCTTTTCATTGCCGAACTTGAAGTTGTAGGTATCCTTTTTCTGTTTGGGTCGTCTTCTAATTCACGCACTTGAGGATCTGACATAACTAATTGAAAGAAGATGCTATTAATCTGCTTAAAGATTGGCCTGAAATGGTGTTGATTTCTATTCTCGCTCTGTCTGCTACACTTTTCGTCTTCGACAATCGATAGAATCCCCTTACACGTGCGTCAGAAGCTGGTTTCTTAACGAGTGATGATCACTTTTCGTTAACTGGAACAGATGAGAAGTTGAGAATGCATTATATAGATTTTGGACAATTGTCTTCACCATGTGCATAGTGCTCTTAAAACATTACTTTGATCTTGGACCTGTTCAAGGTTATTTTTTGAAATTGGGATGAAGTTTCAAAGCATTAAAAGTTCTAGTGCATACACAGCATTCGGCAATGGCAACGACATATTGGGGTCGCTTCACGAAATACACTTTGTTCAATTGCTTCCTTGTTCAAAATAAAAGGATCGATGAAGAAAAGAGGAGTAACACGTGTAAGAGGCTCCAGAAAAGTATAATTTTATCCTGGTAGACTAAAGTAACTTGTATTCTGAAGGCAGGGCCTACGTAGATACTTGTGCTTTTCCGGTTTTCTTAATATATTTCAATATAAGGTAAGAGGTGCTTGCTGGAAATTGCAAGAGGTGCTTCTGCCTTACATGCATTGTAGTCAATGTAAACGACGTATGTTGAGATATCATAACTTCAAATTTCCTTTCCTCGTTTCACCTTGTCATACTTTGTTTCATTCTGCTCTAGTAGTTTCCATTTCTCGTGAAACTCATGGTTAGTGGAAAAATTCGTTCCTCGAATTGATTAATCTAAACCACTTCAACACAGTCTCCTGCATGAATTTATCAAACTTTCAGCCATTTCTTTGAGAATGTACTCGTTTTATAATATAAATCATTTGCTCACTTTCTAATGAGATGATGTTCTGATTTTATTCATTTTTGTAATAGGAATGTCCTTAGTAACATTTGTATAGAGTGAGAGCACGCAAGTTTGATTTATAGGCTTCATCAAGTGATCTCATCATGGGCAAGAACAGGTTGGACCTCGGACAGTTCTTTAAGTTCCGCAATCACAACAAAGACGGTCATGAGCACAGAATGGCACTTCATCAAAATTGCGTTCTCTGACCCATCTTACTTGTTGACATTCCAAGAATCATTCTTTTTTCAATTCTAGAAAAATTTCAAAAGGAAATACAGCTAACTGAAGCAATCGGTAACATCCGAAATGACAAAGTGTCTGGTTATGATTCAAGTACATACACTTGTGAGTTGCAAAAGGTGTTCAATTCGTCTTTCTAACAATGCTAATAAGAGGTGAATTACATTAAATTGGAATCACTTCCGTAAGGGTCTTAAAAGTTTTCGCTCAGATTGCCTCATTTCAAGATCACGAGATTTTTGCAAGAACTAAAGTGATCTGTAGGAAGCAGATGGCAGTAGAGGTGGTGGTGCCGTTTATCACGAGCTCAGTACCGCTTTGACCATACTGCGGGCACATCAAGCCTTCTATCTATCCGCGGTTGGTCAATTGGTAGAACACATATATGGGGTCAAGTCATTCTCTCCGTTCACTGTGGAAACGCTTTAGCACGGATATTCCAGGATTCCAAGGAGAATAGGCTTTCCAGAATTCAAAGACGTTCGTATAATCCACACGCAAAAGGGTCGCAGTTCCTAATGGTTGATGGATGGCGGAAAGGAATAGAATTCAAGAACAGCTAAGAACAGCAAAAGCTGATGTGAAGATTGGTCATACATAAAAAATGGAGTTAACTCTGATTAGTATACTACACTCAACTCGAATCAAATTGCAAAGCTGAAACAAAATACTAGTTCTTGTTCCTAATTTAGTTCTTCACAATGAGCTGTAGTGAAATTTGCCGCGCAGCTTTTTTTTCTAACTTTGGTAGAAGTTTCTGCACGATCCTTCCTGCCCAAAAACGGGTCATACTAGTTTAAAATTTGGTCTCTCAAATACCTCGTTTAGTTTTTAGGAAAGAACTCTACTCTTCCATTGCTATGAATTTATAATACTCGTATCGTAGTGTTAATGCCACACTATCTAATTGTAAGGTGAAGTGAGCCCATCTCCTATGAACACGTCAGCCATACATGTGTATTCAGACTGGATCACATGTATGGTATGGTAGCCATCTTTTTGGGTCACCTCGAAAATTCTTATGCTAGCCCAGAATTTTCATCTTAAGACTTTTGCACGGGGAGTATGGCGAAATGGTTAGATGTGCCCTCCTCACAGGATCGTTGGTTCGATCATGCACTTCAGGTAAAAAAAGCACTCCGTCTTTCCGGATTCCGTAAAATGGTGCCAAAGTAGTCTAAGATGGTAAGGAAAACAGGCCTATTAAATACATCGCTAGGCCACCACACTGTATGAGATGAAAAGCTTGGCGTATCCCTTAGAGACTGAGGGACGCTTTATTCGTTATCCTTCCTAACTTTGCAACTGGAACATTTAGAACTTCAGTGTAATATGGCTTATCTTCCTACTATTGTTCTGAGGCGACATACAAGTGATTTGTTGGCCTCATCAACACATTCATCATCAAATGCTATTCAAGAAAACGATCAGATGGTTCAAAATTATGATATTACATGTTGCGGAGAGGATGAAGGTGACAATCAATGAAGCATTTCTGCGAAAGTTGAAGAACACCCACCAACCCAAGGCAGCATGTTCACCTGCATTGCATAGTTGATAAGCATTGCATACGTGGTCGAAAATGATCCAGGAGTTCACAAAGTTTTTACAAAAATTGAAAGATGAGAAGCGGATATTAAGCAAATCAACCTTCATAACTCTGTAATCGATGGAGATAAAAGTGTAAAAAAGGTTTTAGCACAGAGAATGTGCTAATGCCTTACCAATGTTGGGTTGTAGTTGAAAAGTTTGGTATAAAATTCATCAATACATTTGTGATTACCATGCATACCATTAGTTTCAGAGGCTTCTGGGGTTTTCTAGAAGACTACAGGGCTTCGATTGTCATCTGCGGTGCTCCGACTCTTTTTCTCCCAATGCTTTTCTACTTTCCTGATCATCAGGTTGTAACTTCATAAAAACGCCTTCACATATTATAATATCCTTCTTTGGAAAAAATTTCTTCAGAAGCAGGCACAATGTGCATATGTGGTTTCAATTATGGGGCTTTATTGGGTTTTCGAGGTGAGTGCTTAAAAATGGCTTTCTCTCTAAATTTAAGCAACCTTAGTTTGCGATGTTCTTACTTAGGTTCTACCTCTAGCAATAACAGCCCTAATTCCTATGGTAGCATTTCCAGTTTTTGAAATTATGAAAAGTGATGATGTTGCGCAATCATATCTACCTGTGAGTTTTCTTCAGTTTAGTCAATACTAGCCCTTAGTAGAAGATTCTCCACATTTTCCATATTTTTGAAGGATACATCGTTTTTATTTATTGGCGGATTAATGGTAGCAGTGACTGTTGAGAAATCCGAACTGCACACGCGAATTGCACTCTTCGTACTTAAAACTGTGGGATCGCAACCGAAATGGTAGAAAGACTTCATGAGTGCTATTATATTGTTACATATTTTTCAGTGAAAACAAAGAGAATGTTTTGCACATTTTAGGATAATGGCCGGTTTCATGGGAGTCACTGGATTTTTAAGGTCAGTGTTTTGTTTTAGGGATTATGGGATGCAATACAATGAGCAGAACTCATTATCCTGGTGAGTCAATTTCGCGTCAGGGCGACAGTTTCGTATCCCAAGATGACCAAAAAACTGGCAGCAGCTTTTTCAACAAGAGATAAAATCGTTGCATATCCATCACTTGTTATTGAAATTTATTCAGAGAGGAAATTCAGATCGCCTTAACGGCTTCTGTTCTTGAGTGCTCTTGGGAAATGAATATGAGCACAGCGGGATAACTTTATAAAGTTAATTGATGCACTTACTCATTTTCTTTAATCATTTCTCTAGAAAAAGTGACCTCTAATGGGTCCGCTTTGCGCATTTGTTAGAGGAGCTTCGTAAAACACTCAGCTTTTCGCTCTCAAGAAAGCAAAACCTCCATTGCTCTGTGTTGAACAAACTAGTGCCATATTATTTCTGGAGAATAAAAATGTTGGCTTTACATATCGGTAATAGCCGCAGACAATATACGTGTCCAGTCACTTCCGTGAGGCTTATAATGTTGAATACAACGCATACGTCAGAAATTAATCAGCGTCGGACACTTTGTTCTTTGCTATTATTTTGTAGAGTGAATTTGTAGCATGTGGATTTCCAACACTGCGACAGCAGCTCTGATGGTTCCTATTGTTCAATCTGTGATCACTGAACTTGTGGCAAACCACAGGTAATACGTTACCCTACATTTTGAGTTTAAAGATTCGTTGGATTTTGAAATATGTTTTAGAATGCATGAACTTCTGGCTCTATCTGAAGCGAATTCCATCGAGAACCGCAGACGAAGTGTTGACATGCGTCGTTTATCGATCCCACAAGAAAACGTTATTTCACATCAGAAGTTAGTCAATCGCATATGTAAATAATTTCTTGTTTTATCTGCATTGTAGCAATACGTGCTCAGGGACTTAAGTAATCTCTTTACACCTCGTGAACTTCTTCTGGCTAAAGGACTGCTTATTTCTGTTTGTTTTTCTGCGAATATTGGAGGATCAGCAACAATTACCGGAACAGCGTCAAACCTTGTACTGATCGGACAACTGGAAAAGTGAGCATTTTAGGAGTTTCAGTAGGAGATAGCTCTTCTTTCACATTATAAAGTGATATAAGATGCATGGATATTGAGTACACCTTAGGTTGTTCCCCAACGCTGACACCGGTATCAATTTCCTGTCGTGGATCTTTTTCGCTTTTCCCCAGGCGGTCGTATGTCAAGTGCTTTGTTGGTGAGGATGTATTAGTTTTTAATTAACACTAATATGAAAACTTCTCCGAATTACATACAATGGAAACAGGAAAAATGGCAAAATAGGCGGGAATATTTAGGTGTGATTTTTGAAACCCATCAGCATTGGACGAAAAGGAATGAAAAATTCGGGAACGTAAAATGTTATTCCCTCCCAACGGTTTACCGCCTCATCGTGGCTAGGAGGTGTTCCTTGGTGTCGGGCTGCGATGTACAGCACGGGGATTCGTCCCCCCGGCTGGTTCTCCCAAGCTGAGGAGTTCGGCCTTTTCCATCAGGAAGCTTTGCTAACAGTAAACCAATATCAAGATGCGCCATCGTCCTGGTATCAAACTGGCATGGTGGTAAATCTCCCTCTGATCCACAAGGGTTGCAACTGCCTGTCGTGGTGACGACCTGGGGCAGACTTTGGCCAGGCTGAACTCGGGATACCAGGGACCACAATGGCTTAACCAGCAAATCTCCGAAAAATGGTGTTTATGCTGGGTCTCGCACAACTAGTGATGACGGGCCGTTCAAGTATCAAGTATCAAGGAAGTAAAATGTTATTCTTAAACTGGACCAACCGTTTCTGCTCATTTTGCTTATGGACGTATTGATTTTCTTTATTCAGAACACACCTTAAGGCAGCAATATAATTATTCATTGCGAGTAGCAAAGACAGTATTCCATTTTTATGACGGTATTGAACGCTACTTTCACAGAAAGCAAGGTGTTTCGAAGATGGTGATGAAGAAGTATATGAGGCTGTCGCAGTTTTTAAACCCATTGCTTCAGGGTGATAATGCAGGCAAAAAAACAAATAGTGGTTTGAGTATCGCCATGACTTATCTGTAGTCTGAATGCAGTGCTGTCCATCAGCTCAATTACTCTGGTTGTTTGTGAGCTAGGATTGAAAAGTAAGGCTGATGTACCAGTTTATTAATAGGCGAGGTTATTCGAAATCTTTATTGTGGTTAATAACTCAACGCAATCACCTTCTTCAGAGCTGCGATGATTCGAATCTGGTCAAAAGAGAAAACTTTTCTTGCAATGTGGGTCGCAGTGGCATCGAGTTAGATCGCACATGATCACCGCCTAAATGAAGTGATATCAACCAGCTCTTTTAAGACTGCCCTCTCCACTGGAATTCCGTGAACTCGGCATCGTCTTGAGGCTGTCCCTGGGAACCGAACTCTGTGTTGTTTCAGCAGCCTTTCTTCTGTAACCGTGATATTGTGAAGATACCCTGTTTTTTGTTTTGCGTTGAACAACTGTCGTAGTTCTAATAAGACAGTGGAATTTTTTGTTGTGAGTCGACATTAGGGCAAACGACCTACCCACAAAGTTGAGTCCTACGAGAAGATTGGATTCATCTTGCGGACGTGTAAACAGATTTTTATACAACCAAAGGGCCCTAGCTACAGAAAAGCTAGGGTCGTGACTCACGTTGTTCTCCTCGCGGTCTGGAGTCATCGTAACATCGTTCATCAAATCTCCTCAAATCAAAATCTGGCAGATTCTGAGTACCAATGAATGGTCGTAGTGATTCAGAGCGCTAGGCGTTCGAAGACCTACATTTCTATGGCAAAATATAAACAGAATGCATCCTAAATATCGCGTGAGGTTTAGCTCGGACAACCATTGTGAAACAGAGAAAATCGATAAGATCTATAATGCAACATGAAAATTCGATAACAAAAAGCAATTTTAGTAAAGCCCAGTACAAATTTATTTTCTAAACACGCCGTATTCAACATTTCATACATCGTTATAGGTTCGTGCTTAATGTCGTCTTTTTACGCAATGCTCCACAGGGGTCAGCGATAGTTTCTCGCAAGCTCAATGAGAAGTACCGAAAACTCCCTAGCATTTCATTTGCAGAGGTACTTTATGTCTTGTGAAAACCAGCTTACAGTTTTGTAAAATACTTTTAACGATATTTCGTAGAGAAATCTCACTCTGTGTACTATGGATAATAAGCAGCTTTGGCTGGGCATAGAAAGGGACAGTACCAACACCTGTAATTCTTTGATGCGCCTGCGTTATGCGTCAATTGTAAATACCATTTTCCATGATCGTCTACTTATCATATCAATAGTATTTTCTTTGCTAGGATAAACCATTCTTTGATGGATTTTTTAATTTTTATTTAGTACAGAAACACGTTAATCAGCATATTCTGCATAGAGACCTCTTTAACACTCCTGCAATTGTTCACTGAGTTAAGCAAGGCCGTGATATTATTTATTCTTTCCTGTCTTCGCATGAGATTTCCGATTGTGGATGGCTCCTTTGAGAAGAAAAAGTTTTGTTCGTATTTTTGTTGAGCAAACGCGAGGTGTTACTATTCTTTGTTCACGATTAAGCTGACGTTTCGGCGAATTTCGCCTTCTTCAGAGCCTGGAAAGGTCAAGTTGATAGCAACTCACTCGGCCAGACGCCTCCATAACCAAACAAAGAAACCCCAAACCAAGATTTCAATCACTTTGAACACAGCTTTGCACACTCACCGCTTCCTATGAGGTTTCCACTAAGTATGTCACGTAGAGACCAACCGCACAGAAATCACATGGAAGTATAATGTGCCCCTCACATCAGAAAAGCAGTTTTATATACTGCCCTATATCACGCGTGATAATGAGGCATTCTTCCCTGCGGTTCATTTTCGGATTTCTGGAATTAATCCAGAATGCCTAGAGAGTTTTTCGCACGTGTGTTCTTGATTCGTGTGCGAGGATCGTGACACATACTTCAAAGTCCTCCCCGTTATGTCTCTGGGTCCTATGCGTGCCTAGCGGGGTATTTGGTCTATGTTTGCCGGCTAGGTGTTCTTTCATGCAGACACAGAGGGGTCTACCCGTTTCGCCAATGTATTCGTCACCACACGTCTTACAGGAGATCAGATAAACTATACCCGAGCTCATGCTCAAAGAAAGTTTTGATATTTCTCATTCATTCCTTCCTTAAAGAGCAATGAAGGTCGAATCAGTGGTCATCTTGTGGACCTGCAAACGTGCCGTAGAACCTAAGTGCTAGGCGAAGAACAGTTCAGGTGAATAGCGAATCCATATCATTTGATTTGCGACATCTAAGTACATGCAACAACATCCTCAACATAAGAAATATGTAGGATTTTGAAGTAAGCGAAAAGATAGGTCGATTGCACTGTCAAAAAGGTGTACACAGCTCGTCTGTCACTTTGAGTTCCCGTCTTTGACACATATTGCTTTCGCGACCCGAAATAGCCGTTTAGATCATCCGAAAGAAATAGCCTTTTACGGAAAACGTTTTTTTGTTTTAGCTAAAGACTGATCTCTGTAGATGTGCTGTTAAAACCTCCTATGATTTGTGCGACATGGATAACTTCTCTTATTACAAGGATGACTTTATTGTCAATAAGCCATGCCGGTTTGGGAATGTCGCTCTCATGCTACAAAACAAAAATGGAGACAAAATCAGAACACTTGTAACGAGATGAGATTGCTTTGTTTACGATGATGATGACGTCGTTGCAGAATGATTTAATGTCCGTGACGAAGTTGTTGTATGAAGGATCTTCGTTCATTGATCAGGGTTACTTTGATTGCTTTAGGCTTCCATGACTACTTCTTTCTTTTTGACTATGGCATATAGCGTCACACCAGCGAAACCACTACAGTGAAGAAAAAGTATAAAGAAATTCAGAAAAGTAGCAAAGATTGCAGTGGCTAATAACAGCATTGGTCGATGAGGAAAAGTAAACTTTCTTACGCCATAACGCAAGAGTAGGCATGGCAAAGTCAACGTTGGGAAGGACGAGACCACTTCGAGTGATTTCACTGGTCTTGATTCCAATTAGCGAGGTCCACTACTTGAGTTTTGCATGCTCGAGGTTGATGATTAGAGACCATGACTTTTGAGACATCACAAATACATTGATACCAATCTTCCAATTCAAAGAATTGTGTTACTCAAAACGCCATAATCCGAAACTTTCATAATTTTGATTACAGATATCAGTGATGGTTTGCTTCACACTTTTGCTATTGCTTTGGATACTAAGGGAACCTCAAATAATTCCAGGGTTTGGCTGCTATTTTAAAAGAGGGTGAGTTCTATTACCATAAAATTCGCAGAAATTGCTCAGGTTTTTAAGATTTAGTTACGTAACTGACGCAACGAGCGCCATACTCGTCGTGATTCTTCTGTTTGCCATTCCGGATCACAAGCCAATGTGTTGCACCAGAGGTAAGCAACAATGTTTTAAATTGATTTTTAGAATAACAAAATAAAAGATTGAAGAAAGGAATGGCCATCATATCGTTCGAAACTCGCTTTTGGATTGGCCAACTATTCAAGAACGATTTCCATGGAGCGTTGTTCTACTACTAGGTGGTGGTTTTGCACTAGCTGCTGGAGTTAAGGTGGGCTTACTTTTTCCATAAATCATTTGAAACTCGAACTTAAACTTCAAATTATTTTATATCCGCAGATTTTGAACATTTTGTATTTTCAGTTGCATATTTATTTTGAGGGGGCTCGCTCGAATCGCCCTTTCATCGAAGTAAAGTTCTCAAATGTTAAGTATTACGACAGGCCGGATAGCACAGTCGTAGTGATGTCCGTCACAACGAGCATGGTGTTAGTTCGATTCCGCTTTGGGCCAATCGAACCTCTCATCCCTCTTGGGTCGGGAAATTGGTACCAAACTTCTCTAGGAAAAATTACTCTCTGTAATCCAACTGGAAACGCTCCAGCTCCGCTATCTCAGGACTCCTGGAAAACTTGCTCGACCAGCATTATGCGACATTCAAGATGAAATGAAAATCCTCATGCAGCAACCGAAGCCACACGTAAAAACTTGGAAGTCCTTCGTGGATGATGGATTCGGGGAAACGAATTGAAAATGAGAAGTGCTGGGATCCGCACTGTTGACGTGAAGACGGGTCAAATAAAATAGAATGAATAAAAATAATCAAAACAAACATCAAAAACAATAAATAATCAAATAAAAAATAAAATGAATAAGTAATAAATATGTACCACCTGTCCTGTCAACCTATGGATTGTCGAATGATTCGAACGGATGCCAGTAGAGTAATCATTCTCTGCCTGGTATCAAAGGCTCTGCTAACACGAAGGAGAGGAAAGACAATTGCAGAGTCTTCGCGAAGAACTGAGAGCATCGAATTGGCGGTACATCAGTTGTACGTCTTATGTAGAACCCAGTAACCAAAATTTTTACGTTATTGCTTACCATTAAGACGAATCGTGTGTTATATTCACTCTTCAGCATCGTGATGCATGGGCACATAATGATAAAGAATAAAGAGTTTGGTGTTGAACAATCTTTGACGAATGTGTCATGCTTTTTACTTCACGGCGCTTCGTAGGAATGATTGAATGTATATCTGGCCAAATCATTGAGTTGTGGTGGCCTACCGATATATGTGAAGCCATCCTTCCAGACAAGGCTGGAGGCAATTTGCCGAATCTGGAGGTGTGGAAAGCTTGATTTCTTCTCTTAGTTGACTAGTGTAGGATGCGAAAATAAAAGTCACGTATTCTCAAACAAGTGATATGTGTGGTTTTCTTTCTCAGCAGTCGCGAGGTTTTTATACAGCAAGTGTTTACTTCTATACAAAAACACGCAATACAACCGTTGCTGACGCTTCGGCAGTATCCCCTTCACCAGACCCGTCTTTATCGTGCTTCCCACTGATGAAGAGCCCCTGATCAAAATCGCATATAATTGACGACAGTCGTTTTTGTATGGGAATAAACGCATGCTGTTTAACAACCTCGCGATTGCTGAGAAAGAAGACGACGCATTTATAATCAAATGCCGAGGTTAGTAGAAAGTCGATCATGTGACAGATTTTCTCAATGCAAAAAATGGATAAAAAAAACGCTGTATTCGGAGTGCTTGGCTCACAGCCAGGTAATCTTTGTCATTTTCACTACTTTCTTGACACATTTCCATTTCTTGAAACCCTTCACGTCTTAAGTTATTTATCCATACTGACTTTCTAGCGTTGACAGATATAGCTTTAACACTTGACCTCATTCATCTACAAATACAGAAGTGCTCCAACCTCGTTTTTCTGCGTTTCAGCCAAATACGGATCATTTCAGACGCTTTATCGAAACCAGTCACCGTTTGTTCCGCCTGGATAAATAAAAAATGATAAAGCTCTCTGCAGTGATCAAACCCTGAGGGATGCTCTTTCCATTCGGCTTCACTAGGCATCGTCACAGGTGAATGAATACATATCTGGAGTATAGAATGACTCGCGGTGACCTATCGATGTATCGGGTCAGTGTTGCTATCCTTCCTGATATATTTGGTACCAATTTTACGAGCCCGCAGGAATGGAAAGCTTGATGACCCTGAGACGTGGGATCGAGCCCATATGTACTGCAGAGCACCTCGAACCACTGCGCTACACCTAGGCGATATCTCATATTGCAAAAACAATGACAAGTTATGCACAGAGCAAAGGCTGTAACCACAGGCTTCTGAATTTTATTCGTTCTTTTTCTGTTTTCTATACAACCTTCGTTCGCATGGCGTTTCGATGTTGTCATTTTTTTTCTTTTGATTCGTTGTTTCGCCTCTTTCATTAAGATCTCCGAAATTGCACTTTGGTTTCATTGCTACTTGGTGGTTCTCCATTGAGTAGAATCCTCTGTGAAAATAATATCATTTGGTTAAAATCATCTCACAACACCAGCACGACTAGCTCGCGTAATACGCCATAACGTAAAGTCGGTGACTGCATGAGTTTCGGTACGGTTCATCTGATGTTTTGGAAAGCGTGCGAAGACGAATATATTGGCGAAAGTGGGCCACTGTGCATCCATATAAAAGAACACTTATTCGTTAAACTTGACGTTAAACCAGATGGTCAGCAGTGCGCGTATGCAACACGTAGACATAATGAAGAAGATTTTGAAGTAGAAGTTACCGTCCTCACACACGAATGGAAAACTTCAGAGTGCAAAACTCTTGAAGGATTTTGGATATATCACAATGTTGTCATTTTTCCTTCTACTGCCAGGATATTATGTGAAATATAACCATAGTGATGCTGAGATATTTGCAAAACTCGCATGCAAAACTGTGGTGGTGAACGCGTTAGCCGGGGAAAGGGTAATAACGTTTTCGGTCCCCTCCGCAGACACGAATAGTCCGGAGTTTAGCAAATAACCCAGCATTATTATGGATTTTGGTTAATTGCCAAAAATCCAAAAATGAGCCGCAATGGGGAGTGTCTCGTGATCACGCTCAATCTCACATATTATTTGTGACTGAGATATTAATGTGAGAAAGGTGCGTTATCCCATTCATGTGAACTCCGTGCTGTTGGTTTTCACATGAAATACTAAGTAGCAGACTCATAGAGAACAGTAAGAGTGCGAAGAACTTTCCAAATGCCGTTAAACTCTTAGTTTCGTAGTATTTCTTTTTTTGGTTATGGAGGTCTTTGGCTAAGTAGATTACAGTCAACTTGACTTTTCAAATCTCTTATGAGGGCGAAATCCGCGAAGCGTCAGCTTTTTAAGAATAAAAGTAAAATAACAACCTAATGTTTGCTCATCAAAAAAGCAGTGAATTACTTGACCAACGCCGAGATTAGTAGAAAGCCGATCTTGAAAATTACAGGCGATTTAGTTACGGTTCTTTACATTTGAAAACTCTCATGTACAACGCTGAGAGCATTGCCTTCGGAACTGCGAGACGCAGTGGAAGGTTCTAGTATTGATCATGAACTCATATAGTTACTCACCTTAATCGTTTAATTGTATACTTTTTGTTTTTATGTTGTGTTAACTAGACCTTTTCCTTGGGCCCATCATGATGTTGCAGTTTTCAATAACTACATTGCAAAAGGCGTCGCGAAAATGCAAGCCATTAGCCAAGCTAAGCCATAACATGCATTGATCTCGCAGTACCCATTGTTTAAAATGATTGCGCAAGCAACGAAAAAATTCGGAACCAACGTAGATTGATATTTTTTGTCTTAAACGTTCGTATTATTCGGTTGGTGACGATATCTACCTTCAAGCTCTGGTTTACAAGTTCATAAACTTCACCAGGTGCTCCGTTAGCGTGTGTGCCAAGAAAGGTTTCAATCATCGACGGTTTTTGTTGGATGGTATTTTCTTGTTTTATTCAGTTTGATGATATGTTGCGTAGTCTTCTTAATCTGAATCATCAGTTCCTATACGGAAGCCTTATGTGCTAATATGTGTGTGAACTATGTGTATAGGGAAATCTGAGAAAAACTTCGCTACCATGTTGCAGTGATGAAGTTCATCATATTTGGATTGCATAGGAGCTCAAAACTTAATACATAAATATTTCGCTCAAATCATAACAGCCAAATTGCTTGGTTCCTTGGGTTGTTTAATTCTCTCAATGGTTTTAAAAGTTTGCTTTTTATTGCATGTGCTATTTATCAGGCAAACATACCGCCTAAATTACTGCAGAGACTGTTTACTTATTAAAAGTAAGGCTGTATAACAATTTTGCATGAAAAATTGGCTCAATGAGAAAATCTTAAGGAATCGCGCTTATCCCACGAAATCGGTGAGGTGATGCAGCATCTGACGGATTTGCCCACGTATACGGTGATGTTCATTTGTGTTCTAATTACCGTTGGCTTCACAAATATCTGTTCCAATGCCGTCATCGCTACGATTTTCATTCCGATTGTAGCAGAATTAGCAAGGTAAGGAAAAAGTGTTAATAAATAAGTGTTCTACATGCTTAATATACCAAAGGGCGCACAAAGCGCAACGGCACTCTTTTGTGAAGCTCTCCGGAATCTCTTCAGATTGGTGAGATGAAAACAACTTGGCTTCCAAAGGTGAAAATCACCTACAGCGTTCACATCTGTTTTAAAAGTCATATCAAGATTTGAGACCTTGTCGGATTATTTCTGTGGAACTCGAACGCAGCAACACTTTTTCAAAACATTCACTTTCACTGAGAATTTTATATTTTTCCCCACGGGATGATGTTGCTCACGTGGTGGTGTGTGTTTGTGTTTTTTTTTCATAGATCACTCGATGCGAATCCACTCCTCTACATGCTGCCAGTGGCTGTCTCATCATCGTTTGCCTTCCTTTTTCCAGTCGCTACTCCATCGAATGCTATTGTATTTGGAACTGGTTTAGTTAAAGTCGGCGATATGGTGTGTATTTTGTGAATTTTGAACTAAAATCTAGTTTCCAGCGCCAAAAGTCTTTTCATTTGTTTTACTTCTAACGCTGATCATTCCGACTAGTAGCATCAAGAACTGTTATAGTCATTATCGATACAATCCATATTAATGACATCATTTTTAAGGACGTAACTTTTTGAATAGCCAACTTTGTTTTAAAATAACTCTTCAGGCAAGGCAGCACGACAACTTTGTTTTTTATTTTATACGCTATTTATATTTATGTTTAGGAATTCGATCACCTCAAAATAACTGCAACAGACACTGATAAAATCAAAAGGAAATAAACTGGGCGAGGGTAAAAGTACTATTTTTGTGTGAACTTCTAAAAGATTAGTTCACTGGAGGAAATACATTTCGTTATTGCTTGGCTTAGTGAAACGAAAATGATAAATTCTCTGTCGCACTTTTTTTGATCAGGACTGCCTCTTGTTTTTATATCTGAGCCGTCCAAGATTATTTCTGCGATGTCAAACCTTGATATGGTAGGAAAAATACAATGACAGAAGACAATTTCCTTAAAAACATTTCCATAAAGAGCTACACGAGACAAGATCATAGATATTATGTGTTGTGAATGTCCTTAAGAGCTGCAGAACTTCAACACAACAGAAGACCTGAATCCTGAAAAATTTTATTCGAAGAGTTAAATGTAACGTTTCTGAAGATGGGGTGCTTACCACGAAAGTGTAATACCTAATTGTTGCAGGCTTTCTCTGGATTCTTTATCACAATCGGATGTATGGTGCTATCCATTGTGAATGTGATGCTGTGGGGACGATACCTTTTTGCGTTGAACGAGTTTCCTCTATGGGCTTACGATGACCTTCATCCGATAAAAAATGTCAGCCTTATCGAAAAACTTCTTGCTCAAAATAAGACTGTCTTTCCTGACCTGCCTTTTGCCATCTAGGCTTCTCGTTCATAAGAGTACTCATTTTTGTTTCATTTCATTTTTATTAAAATTGTTGTCAGAATATCTTGTAAATCTGTACATGAGTTAGTGCGCAAAGTTAAATAACCAGCACTGAGCGTTCAGCTGTCTTAGACAAACTGGAATGTTCATTCATTGGCCAATTTCACACAAGGCTGTTGTCAGTTTTTGCGACTTCTTCATTAACTTAAAAACGTTGTTTTCTTTTAAATTATTTGGGAAATACACGCCAACCGTCAACGAAATTACAAGCGATATGAGGTAAATGAGGATGAGGTAAGGATTACCAAAAACGAGGACGATCGATCGCGAAGCAGCAGCCAGCACTATGACCTTCTAGCAATGTTAGAAATAACTGTTGATAGTTTTGTTGGATTTGAGAATAGCTCCTTGTTTTTTTAAGCACTCTTGCTAGCTTAACTACTCTGTAGAATCTATTCAAACATTTCAACAAGAAAGTGTTGCTTTCACCACTTCAGTGGTTATTAGAGAGATTTCAGCGAAATAAAGATTAAAATGATGTAGGAGATTGCAGAGCCATCAAGAGCGAAAGGAATGGAAGAAGAACATTCTTTTCGCAATTGCACTAGCGTTTACGAGGGCTTTTCCACATGCGTTGACCTCCAATTCAAACCAAAAATAAAAACTGCATTTCGAAATTTTCTAGGTTTTCTTCTGCTCATGTGAATTAGGACTTTCGGTCTGGTCTTAAGGTGCCTTATGCGTCCGCAAGTCTGGTTATGAACGAGGTCAAAACGATTCTAAGAAGAACCAATTGACAGCGAACAACCTACCTTGAGGTCGTCGATGTCTTTTCTGTGGTTGCTGTGTCTTCTTTTAATTTCATCTGCATACACACTTTTTAATAAGAATTTTGCCGAATTTCTTCACAAAAACTATGGTTCGAAGTTCCGGGATTTTCTCCAAAGGCAAGTACCATTGATTTTATTTCTTCTCAGTTCTGAAGAAGTGAATAAAAGATCCTTACAGCAATGAAAAAGGTGCACTTCGTAATATAAAATACATAACGTCACCACTATAAATCCAGCTAATTCAGTCATACTTTGCTTCGAACACCAAAGGGTTGAATGTGAAGAGGTAAATCAGTAGAGGAAAAATAAACGATGCTACTATATTTAGAAGTGATCTTGGAAAAATTGGATCGTTCGGAGGAAAAGAAAACGACAGTGACGAAATCGAAAACGATCCAGTGATTTTTGTTCACGGTGCTTCTGATGTCGCTGGTAGCAAAATGAAGGTTCTTGCTGACCAGTATAAGTAAGAATTTCAAACAGAGTAATTCAAAAACATGGTTTACTTTTAGTAGGATTAGATTTTTCGTGTGCCAGCGCTATGAGAAACAGACGTAAATGCTTGTTGGGAAAAACCGTTGTTAAAAAAGAATAAGAGCAACGAAATTACCATACCACTTTCTTAGATAGTCTGCTCCCACGATAAGTGTGGCCCGCTGCACATTATCTCTTAGTTATGCCAACGTGCTCTATAAGAGCAACGAAATTACCATGGCCACTTCAGTGATAGTCACTTCAGAGCATAGTGACGTGCCTGAGGACCAGCTCATGATTCCCAAATATTTTACGCCTACAAGTACAGCTCCGTAACAAAAGCGATGAAAAAGTTCACCTGAATTGTAGTTGATCCTCTTAGGGAATGCTTTTATGTTCTTGAAGTCCACTTTTTTGTTCTTCTTGTTTATATGTTGTCAGGATTACTTATTCTCTGAGTAATTTATCTACGAATTATTTCTGTGTTTACTCTCCTCCATGTGAAAGATGGAATCGGTTTACTGCGTTATGTACACCGGTTATATCTAGAAGACATTGATTAGGATTTCTGTGAAATTACCAGCATGATTAAAGTGTAAGCGCAGACCTGAATAGCAGGAAAGGTCGTTGGAGATACTGCTGACTCGAAAAATTAGCCACGGAGTTTTAGAACAGCCCATGCTTCTCCTTCAAGGATTACATTTGTTTTAAAGCAGTGAAGCTCTTCTTCGAGATCATCATATGGACATATTGGTAGGTAACAACTGATGTTGTTGCCCGTCTCTTGATACGGAAATTGAAGAGGAATAGCTAAGCGAGGTGATAGAGCCTCGCATTAGATGGCGCGATAAGTATTTTTGTACTGCACTGGAAGGATGCACGCTAATGTCTATTCCGTCGGCATTTTGTGACGGAGTTTTTCCACTGCATACGAGAAATCTAATCTCTAGTTGGTTTATGTCGCTCTTCCTGCTTTTCGTTTCCTATAGGAATAATGGACGAAATTTGATACGGCTAGAGCTTTCGAAATAAACGTAAAGGTGAGCACCTGAAGAGACTGTATTGGTGTTATAGGTGCAGAGCAAGAACCACTCTCCATGGTCTGTTGTCGTTCTGCTCCTTTTTTCGTTGCCAATGACGTCATGTGTTGCCCAAGATTTTGTCGCCTCTCACCGATTATCTCATTGCATGATGTCCCACACGGGAGCGCGTAGCTTCCCGAGTACTGATGCTGGTTGCAATACTCGTTGTTGCCGGAAGCCTCGAGAGAAATTAACCTAAACTTGTCCAAATCTTCTATGCCATTCGTCAGCCGTTATGAATTAGAAAGGGATTTTCCACCTGGCGACTTGTTCGATGCCAGAGCAAAGGTGATTCCTGGTTTGAGTTTACTCCTACTTGGGCTTTTGAATAGAAATGTCAAAATCCATCTCAGCTGAGAAGAATCTGCTAGTAAACACCACGCTATACATCACAACTTGATGCACGGAATTATTTTTGAACTACGGTGAGGCGGTAAACCATTGGAGGAAAACTGAAAACATTTGACAACATTTGAATTTTGATCACGCACTACTATTGTGTGAAAAATGGCTCTAAATCGAAAAATGTGTTTTTTCTTTTCATTTTTTTACCTGACTGCTCATGGTGCACTTTAGCAAAGCTTCTTTGCAAGGGTGTCCATCATATTATATTATACAGCTTTTGTAACATTTTTGGCAGTCTCCAATATATTTTAAGTTTTAAGTCGAATAAAAATATTTTAAGAAAAAGTTATGTGCATTGTCGTAAGAAGACTGAGATTATGAAGTAAAGGATAAAGGTCCCGGCGTTGATCAATCCATGAGGGATGCGCCATGCATTCAACTTCTTTAAGCATCGTTTGGAGGTTATTGAATGCATATCTGGTCTTTTCAATGACCCGTGGTAGCCTACCGATGTATTGAGCCAGTGCTGCTCTCCTCCCAGACAGGTCTGGTACCAATTTACCGACCTCGGAGGGATGGAACGCTCGGTGAGCCACGGGCGCGGAGATCGATTCCACCTGTGTGTTGCAGGGCGCATCCGATCACTGCACCACACACGCCCTTAAGAAGACTGAAATCATGAAGTAGAACACAAAAATTTGTTAATATTTGTCTAAATGATTAAGCCAACCCGAGGTTGCTAAAGAAATCCTTATTCGGCTAAAGTTTCGACGTCCTGTTCTTCTTCAGAGGCTGCTAATCTTAATCGACGGACAACAGGCGTTAGTTCTCGCGATGTGGGTCTTCATAGTAGAATCGTGAAGAATCTTCTTGGGTATAGCACGCTTGAATGAAGCAATCTCACTTGACAGTAACTCCCACGACCGACTTTCTATTAACCTCGGCATTGATCAAGTAATTCTTCGTATTCAGGTTTAGTAAACGCGAGGAGTTATTTTAATTCTTTATTTACGAATAAGGTGACGTTTCAGCGGATTTCGCCTTCCTCAGAGCCTGGAAAGGTCAAGTTGATAGCATTCTATTCGGCCACACACCTTCATAACCGAACAAAGAAACTGTAAACGAAATCGCATGGAAGCATAATGAAAGCGGTTAGTGTGCAAAGCTGTGTTCAATGTGATTGAAATCTTGGTTTAGAGTTTCTTTGTTTGGTTATGGAGGTGCCTGGCCGAATAGATTGCTATCAACTTGACCTTTCCAGGCTCTGAGGAAGGCGAAATCCGCCGAAACGTCAGCTTATTCGTGAATAAAGAATAATAACACCTCGCGTTTGCTCAACAAGAATAAGAAGAATCACTTGACAGTGTCCTTCTACACAAAGTGGTTGTTGAGTGACACTCATTGTTCGCTGATAATAAACTGTTTTCCATACATCGTCCATCGTCATGGTCCATCCTGCAGAAGTCAGTATTATTATCAACTAACACACGGAAGAGGATGAATTGTCCGTAGAAATCCATTTATTATCGGCAGACAATCAACATCATCGTCCTGTTTAAAAATACATCGCCGGGTGAGCTTAATTCATGAGAGCGGTACTGTACTCAATAAGATCATTTTCGATAGCGTTATGAAGGACGCGTGTGGCGCAGTGGTCGGAGACGCCTTGTAACACACACTCAGAATTGATCCCAGCAACCATGGCCCACCAAGCCTTCCATCCTTCGGGGGTCGGTAAATTGGTACTAGTCTTGTCCGGGAGGATAGCTGCACTGGCTCGACACATCAGTAGGCCACCGCGAGTCATTATAAAGGCCAGATATGCATTCAATAGCCTCCAAACGATACTTAATAAAGTAGAATGCATGGGGCATCCCTCAGGGATTGATCAACGCCGAGAGCTTTTTTCTTATTTTACTGCTATGAAGACCCACGGCGAGAGGACGATTGCCTGTGGACCATCAAAAAGGATCACCCGCTTTTGAAGAAGACGAAGACATCGAAATGTTAGCCGAATAAAAAGTTTTCCAATCAACTTTGTGTTAGTTTAGTTACCTTAAAAATTACTAATTTGTCACGCAGAAGTTGGAGAAAAAAAACTGTTTTGGAGTACTAAATTATAAAGGTAGTTCTATAACCGTATGTTGATGAGAAATTGAACGAATGGCTACGAGACCGTCTTCACCAAGACTGTTTTGCGCTTTCTATACTCAGTGAAAATGACCTATTTCTTCACTGTGCTCCTCCGTATGGTGGGGCCTATTTCCTGTGCGCTAACAGTGCAAGAAGCCGAATTTACCTCAAAAGATGGCTATGATATCTACTTCATTTCTTGGTAAACGAAACCATGTTTGGATCCTGAAAGAACGGATGGAAAATAGAAGAAGTCCTCCATGAAATCGATGAAGTGCTGCAAAAACTGCCACATGCGTATCAAGATTTGCCCAACAGAAAAGGTCCAATTCTCTTTCATGACAGCGTTCGAGTATGATCTACATAATTATTTCTTCGTATTCTTGTTGAGCAAACGCGAGGTGTTACTTTTATTCTTTATTCACGAATAAGCTGACGTTTCGGCGGATTTCGCCTTCCTCAGAGCCGCTTTCTATGAGGCCTCCACTGGGTATGCTGCGTGAAGACCAATCGCACAGAATTCACATGGAAGCCTAATGTGTCACAAGGTGTCGAATTAATGATGTAGATCGAATTCGAATACAGGAGGTCCGGCAGGCTTATTCCTTGATCCAATGTTCGAGTATTTGTTACTCAACTAACATTGCAAGTTGAACGAGTTGGAACAAAAAACATTACCTCACCGTCACACCCGTGAGTCTTCTTGCTAACAAAATACCACCATTTTTCATGTGTATCGATTAATGGTATCTTAGAATATCCTCAGCAACCAAGCTGCTGCTGAAAATGTTATCAAAGGATTCGTTGAAAACTCTAAAACTTTAGAAATTTGTGTTACTGAAGTATATTCAGAGTATCGGGACTAACACGCGTTTTCTTGACAATTCCTCTTAAAATTCTAAAATTTTTTTTTAATAACAAGGCTATATTCAAGGTAAGGCCTAATCGGCAGGCTTGAAATTTGTGGTCGGAAAGTGTGGGTGCTTTACACTAAGCTGAGTCGAAATGTAAAAGTTTTTTGTTTCTTTTATTAAACCGTAAATCCTTGTTTTTGACTTCTAGAGTGTGTTGCTTAGAAAATCGGGCTACACTGAAGCAGAGTTATACTCCACTACATATGGTCACGGAGCACAGGGAAATCCTCTTCAATGGACTTTGTATTCGATGCGATGTGAATTCATTAAGCAGGCACGTAATTAACAACAAAGATTTATACATTCTAGAAGAAAATATAGTTGTATAAGAGAGCACAAGAACACAATCTGTCTACCGCACTCCCTTTCTAGATCCGCGCTCTGATCTTGGCGGTTCGGTTTTACGCTCGGCGGAATGTAGATATCGTGGCTTTCTCACTTGGAGTTCCAATAACCAGGAAGGCTATTCTTGGAGGCAAAAACAATATTTTTCGTTTTTAACAAATTTACATTCAAAAAGCTCGATTTGAGATTGCAACTGTTTCTTCACCAAGGTTAGCCAGGCCAAAGTCTTCCTTAGGTCGTCACCACCACATGCAGCCGTCGCTCCTGTGGATCAGAGAGAGATTTGCTACCATGCGACTAGCTTGGCACCAGAGCGGTGACAGATCCTGTTATTGGTCTACTCTTAGCTGGACTTTCTAATGGAAACATCGGACTCTTTCTTAGCATGGGAGCTCCTGCCGGGGCCATGAATCTCCCGCTCTACATCGCAATCCGCCACCCAGGAATACCTTCCAGCTACGACGAGGCGGCAAGCCGTTGGGAGGACTAAGAGACTATTCATTATTAATGCCGATGCTAGAAAAAGTCATGTTTTCAGAGATGTATCTACATATCACAGTTTTAAAGTTGGATTAAAATTTTTTGCGTGTCATTGAGGAAAGTAATCCACCATGAACAGAAGCGCGAGGAACAAAAATGCTCTGAATATTTAATATTTCTATCTCATTAGGGATCTGCTTTGACACAAAAGAAAATCTCGGTGTTCCTTTAACTCGATACATCGACACATTTGTTGGTATATCTGGTCCTAATCATGGGATGACATTCAAGGTGAGAACGACTTTTTTGATTGTCTATAACGATACTCAAACTTCAAAAATTACAGGTAGCCGGACTGCCTGTGCCGACTTGCGCGCTGGGAACACTACCTATTTGTGACAAAGTTATAGGATTGTATTCGGGTTTGTGTCCAATGGAGAGTGATTTCCTTCATGTGAGATTCAAACTATCCAAAAAAGAACAATTGGAAAAATGCACTGAATCAACGTCTGTGTGTTCTATCTAGCAAAAACAATAACCTCACATGTGAGCCTCATTGAAGCTGGGAAAATAATTCGAACAATATAGTGGAACAGTAAAAAGTGCAGATTAACAAAAGGTACAGCCGATAGAAACAAGTTTTAATTAAATTATTTTACTCGACCCGGCTTCACATCGGATGCACCTTCCAACACTTCTTGCACTGAATTTGATTTCTCACATCCATGTTCCACGAAGACCTTCGGATTTCAGCGTGATTTCGGATGCCGCTTGAGAATCTTCAGTCTTCTTCCCGATTGTTCTTGAAAATGTCGTCAAGTCGACATTTCCTGGAATTATAGTAGAGCTAGGGTACCACTAATGTTTTGCGATCTGATAGACCTTTTTTGAAAAGTCTGATGTTAATTCTATAGCCCGATCGAATGAGAAATTTCATCGAGCTACGACATCGAAGCATGGTCTCGTGCGTGTTAAACTGACTTACTACGACCGCTCTTCATGCTCTACCATAGGAAAATAATTAAGCATATTTGAATGTCAAAACACAGAGCGCTGATCATCTACTGATAATAGTTTGCTAGACATTCAGGATATTAACGGAAAGTATCATTACGAGGGTGATCGAGTGTACTCGATATATAGTCACGCCGACGAAAAAATTGGGTACAAAGTGTGCAACAAGGTGAGTAGTGAATTTTGGAGAAATAATGCAATTGGTTCGTCTTTTAAGTTAAATGATTCATTAACACATAACGGATGACACTGGTTTCTTGGTATTCAATGATTAGTTGAGCAGCAGGAGTTGAGGAGTTTGGACCTTGACTGACTGGTGAAACTGTCTTTACTTCATAGGTTTAAAGTTGTCCATATTTCTTGAAAAATATTACCATTTTGATAATAAATTTGTTTGGAACCAAGATTTTCGAAACAGTTAATCTCTTGAAGTTTGTAATGCAAGCTGCAGAGGTAATTTGTCTCGATGTCCGAAATGTGAGCGTCTACGAACAAAACAGAAAAAATATGTTCCGTAGGCTCTAGAAGACCGAAACTTTGCATTTTGAAATGACGGATCCCGATAGTTTTAAATGCTAACGGATCCCATTTTATTTTACAGGATTCATTGCTAGCTGAGAAATGTTGGCTGAAAGTCAGGAACGACACTGCTTTCACACCCTTTGCACTGAAATAAATGCATGCCATCAGTTATGTATTAATGAAAGAAGAAAGCTGCAATTAGAATGAAATTATCTTTACAAATAACGTTAAAATTTTTTGAATCATTTGCTGTTTCACCACTTCTTAAAATGTTAAACAATATGCGCAACAGGTAACGGCATCCATTGATGGAGAGGATGGGCATAAGTCGTTCCGAAATCTGCTGCACGATGACACGCTAAAAACGACTCACGACCTGCAGATTTCAATGATCAAAGGCCGATTTAGAAACAGAAACGAAGAATTGGACTCGATCAACCGAAAGATAAGAGTGCTGCGTGACGAACATTACCAGAAGGTTGGAAATAAGTGGACGCCTTCGTTAGAAGATTCTGAGGAGATGCTGTCTGAAAGAATTAAAGTCAGCGATGAAGTGTTGCCAATCACTGAGCTAGAAGAAATGTTGGAATCACAAAAAACTAGCATTCACAATATTCGGAGATTCTATCGTGAGCATGAATATGACCCTTCGAACATGGATCGAACCAATTCTTTATCCTCAAAAAAGCAACAACATACTGACAATAGATCACTATCTCATCTGAACACTGAGGAGAAGTACCACAACGTCGGAAGCGTTAATGTCATGAGGGAGGATGGATATCACACCAGAATTTTCCTCAAAATATAATAACTACGCATATATAAGCTATTTTGTGGAAAGAGTCTCACAACAGAATAAAGCACTTTTCAAAACATCAGTGCATGATGGTGGAATGCTTGGAAAATCCGTGGAATTAAACGATTAGACTTGAACTAAATGAGACATAACTGAATCGAAAAGACCCGTCCAAGCGAAAAGAGAAACCGTAGCAAATGTTTTTTCGGAATAAATGTAGATATGGCATTATTCATGAAAAAGCAATAGACCGACTGCAGCTGATGTTGTAGGAAAAATGTAGAATATGAAGAGTAATTTGTTAGAGTGGGAGTAGCGGAAGTAGGAAGAACTAACTACATAAGCAGGGGCATTTACAGTAAGGAAAGAGCTTAAGAATTTATTTGAGTTCAAAAGTCGCCGACGATTTTGTGAACGGATCGGCCGCCAGTCTTTGAGACCAATCGAATATCACAAATCACCATCTCTTGCGTGACTGCTTTGCACATATCGTAGACGGTCAGAGCAGCCACCTATACAGCGACTGATTGTACAGTAAAAAAATTACAGTAGAATAGTAAGTGAAAACATCTCCGATATTACGGAAAACATCGGCACTCACAGCGCACGCAGTGAGAGCTTCCATTTCGATGCCGGTGTTTGCCGTTGTTCTCGCTGTTGATCGTATGAATAGGATAGACTGAGACTGAAAGCAAAGTTTTTGTGCTAAATTGAAGCGTAACGCATCCATAAACCACTACTTTCTCGTATTCTTTAAGTCGTTTTTTTCATTCAGATGATTAGATATCACAAATTGCTTGAATCTCAGCACTTTTTTCATTCGGCTCGTTCTTTTCCATGCGCCAAAGAGGTGGTTGCATGCAGGCTCGGCTTTAAACTAAGACATTGCCTTATTAATAAAAGTTCATCAATGTTGATCGAGTTGAATTTCTTTGGAATTTGGGGAGAACTTAACTATAGCGTTCCGACGTCCATCACACACACACACACACACACACACACACACACACACACACACGTGCATACATACATACGTACATTATACACATATAAAAACATATATGTTGTACACATACACATTATACACATATATAGACATAAATATACATACATATACACATACATACAGACATACATGCTTGCACAAACACACACTCGGCAATTGTGGCAATCATTTGTTGATACCAGGATTGACGGTCGGATGGAAGCATTTGGGTTGGCCAGTGTAAGGTTAAATCGGAACGTGTACTGGGTCTCAAAATAGGGTTTTATGCTTCCCTGCGATGAGGTATATTTACATAAAATTGAATAGAACTATTATTCTTCTAATAAATGCATTGCACTCTTTTTACCATCCGTTAAGCGTGAATGACACAACCATGTTGACGCATTTAAAGATTGAAAGCAATTCATTCATTGCTGAATGTACTAAATGTGGGCAACTTTTGTGAGTAAACCAAGGTTGCGTGATGAACATTGCTTGTGGATATGAAATTAACGTCGTTCCCTGACAGAATCGCTCTAGCGGGAATTAGTAAATCTAATTTTATAATATTTACAATTCTAATTCTAACTGTGGGCTCAAAAATTTAAAAATGTGTAGATTTTGAGCCTCACTATTATTGGCAAGCATTATTAATGGTCAAATGCGTAAACGGATGTTTTCGTTCCAAAATTTTTTGAAAAGGATTTATGCATCATTTCACGAGCGATCCAGAAAAAGTATTTCCTTTTCTTCACAAACGTTTCTAAACCAAGGATTACGGAGATTGCGCAGACCTCCAGCGATTTTGTTGTACAAAGAAAAAAATTATATAGAACGACTACCACATACCAGAATTTTTTGAAGCAAATTGCTTCAAATTTTCGCGTAGAGTAAGTGCAACAGAATGAATTTTGATGAGAACGTTCAACTTCACAGAATCTGTTGTGCCTATAACGCAGCAAAAGGACACGTTCATAAACAACCATAGATACCATAAATCAACAAAAACTTGATGTTTGGAAAGTTGATTTTTGCATCGGCGCTTTTTGCTTCAGATATTATTTAGAGAAACCACTCACTGCACTAGTGGGGCTTGAAAAAGTGAAAAAAAATGTTCGCACAAAAAGGGCAATAGGGGTGACGTTATAACTGCTGGACAACCAACTTAATTAGCAGGCTTCATAAGCTTCGCAAGAGGACTTGACGCGCCCTCGAAGAATTTAGATGAAGTTGTTGACTATCAGCAAAGGTTTGACACTGTGAAAGAGAACGGCATCCTTTCTGCCTCACTTGAGCCAGCTACTAGAGAGTTTTACATAAAAACGATTACAAACTATTAATAACTCAAAAGACCGACTTTCTATAAACCTCGGCATAAACAAGCGATATATCTGTATGTAACTCAGTAACCGCCACATGAATTCTCATCCAATACCCCTTACGCCGTCGACTAGTTCGTAGTCGCCTCTACGACCGTTTGTGTAGCTAAGAAAATTGTGCGTGCAAAGACGGGAATTTCATGAGTTTAGGCACGTTATACTTGGTCTCATATAAGTCATGCGATGAAGAGTATATTGGGGAAAGGTGTAGACCACTTAATGTCCGCATAAAAGAACATCTAGATGGGAAAGTTAAAACTCAACAATGTACTGCTCTAGGTACACATAGGGGACAAAAGCACAATGTCGATGATTTTGAAGCGAATGGCCAGATCTTGGCGCAGAAATCAAAAACGGCGACGGGCAAGGCTCTTGAGGCATTTTGGTTAAACTTCAAAAATCCAAGGATGAACCGGTTAAAAACCAATGCCTCACTGTCACACATTCCCTGACGCTGTATTTCGAATTGATTTTCTGACCTGGGAGGGTCACAGCCGTCATTCTACGTGAACAACACACGAACGGTCACAATCGTAACAGCAACATGAGTAGTTTTTGAATAATCACCTACCATCTGTATTACCTGTCGTCCCGTTGATCGCCGAGTGACACGAGCGAACGTCAGTAAATCTTCCAATTTTCCCTATCGCATACAAGGGTAACCCAGTTGGTTCTGCTCCCTCTAAAGACTCGTTGAGCATAATATCATTCGCCTTGGGTTTTCGTGAAGAGCTCTGAGAATCGGGTAGGTGGTCTTCGTACAATACGCTTCACATTCCGAGGTTTCCAGTCACTGACGGTCCTTGTCTATCGGCTGTCTTTCATACGCATTACGTGTCCAGCCCACTTTATCTTCGACTGTTTGGCGTACGGAACGGCATCTTTGATTTTTGGTAGTTGGTACGACTGGGAGCTTCGGATCCTTCCCGTTGCTTAACATGGAATACTCCTAGCATCGTCCGTTCGACTGCGCGTTCAATAACGCTGCGATGATTTATCCTACTTACGCAGCGAATAGGTTTATGATGAATTCGTAAACGCAAGAAGTACCGCTGAGTCAAAAAGGTGGGCAAGGAGTCGGGTGTTCTTTGTTCTCTTCACTACATCCCTGTTGCTCTTGAAAGTTTCCCAAACCGCTCGTGTTTTTCTGCTCAGCTCTGGTGCTAGGTCGTTCATCATATTGATTTCGCGACCTAAATAGATATAACTCGAGCATTCGGAGATATTCGTCCCGTTGAGCGTGAATGGAGCATGCGAAACCAATCCGTTCTTCATGAACATCATTTTGTGAGATTTAGTCGAAGACAAATCTTTCCACAGGCTTTATCAAAGTCGTCAAGCATACATTCCGCTGGGCTAATATTTGGTATTATAAGGACGATGTCATCAGGAAAGCGAAGATGGTGTAACTACAGACCATCGATTTACACTTCCATGTTATCCCATTCCACTGTTCGCATGACGTTCTCGAGGGTGGCAGTAAATAATTTTGGTAAGGTGGTATCGCCTTGCCTAGCCTCTATTTTGACGTAAATGTTAGTATTGTTGTAGAATGGTGATATCTTGGTTGTGAAATTTTTGTACAGCTCAAGAAGGATCTTTATGTACTGAGTAGAGACTCCTTGACTATCAAGGGCTTTCATAACTGCTTCTTTCTCAACTGAATCAAAGACCTTCTGCAAATCGATGAAAGTGAGACAGAACGGCCTATTGTACGCCCAGGTCCAACTTTCTATTAACCTCGGCATTGATTGAATAATTCTTTCTACTTCTGTTTTTTTACTGGCGGAAGGTCACTCAGGTCTTTCGTACTCTCGCGATACTTCTATGAGCCTTGTTATCGCGTGGATGTGGTCCATCGTACTAAATTCTCTTCGGAACCCTGCTTCCTCGCATGGCTGCCCTTCCTTCAACTTTCTGTCAATTCTCTTTGGCATAACTCGAGTGAAAAGTTTGGAGACGGCAGACTGTAAGCAAATGGGGCGATGGTTCCCGATGTCGCCGAATTCGCCTTTCTTGAACATTAGCACTGTCTTGCTGGTCTTCCATTGAGTAGGGACCTTGGATTCAGACAGGAAACGTGTGAAGATCCGGGCCGGCGTGTTTATGGGGACTGGCGGAAGGTCACTCAGGTGTTTAGATCTTATTGTGTCCGGACCTGGAGCTGTTCGATCTTTCACCGACGAAATGGCATGTCGGATTTCGGAAAGGAGAACCAGTGGTACAACATATCCATCTTCCTTTATTTCGTATGACGGAAAGTGGACGTGACTATCGACTAGATCCGAGTAGTATTCGCGAATGATTTTCTCCATTGCCTTTCTGGATGCTGTAACTGTTCTTTCATGGCGCTGGAGTGCAGTCATCTTGGCTTGGCTTCGGAGCACTTAGTGAATGGTTTTCCCTGCCTCTGCAGCTTCGACCATCCACATCTCTTCAGTCGTAATCGTTCGATTCGGGTTGCTAGTTGTTCGAATGAATCGATGTTCATAGACAAACTCGTGTTGGCCAGAGCGGCGTCAACGCCAACTCCTCTACTGTTGTATGTTGCGAGAAACAGTTCATCTCCCGTGTCATAGACGGCGTTGAATGGGTGGCATCGCCTCGCCTCGGTCAGACTGATGACGTCGTACCTTATCCTTTTTGCATGCATGAGCAAGTCTTGTATTGAAGACTCGGATACCAGTATGCGTGTATTGTAGGTACGGACCATCACCTTAGTTCTTTGCGATTTAGACAGCTGAGTATGGCCCCAAGATTTTAGCAGCGTTTTTGTACTCGTTCTAAGTTGGCTAATCAGGAGCTCTTACGGGGCCTGAAGAATGGGGCGCGTTTCTTTTACCCTGCTTGGCTTTTTGACACCAAAGTAAAGCTTGCTGAGTTCTGAGCGTGGAAAGTGTGTATGTCCATTGGTTCCTTGCAACTCTCTTCCACAGCGGACGAGGAGTTTATTTGTTGTAGGCGAGTCCAACCACCTCCCATATGCTTTCCCTATCACTTGATTGCATGCTTTTGGCAGAATTGACTCTTGCAATACAATCCGCTTAGACGAGAATACACCCACACCCACATGTGTGAATACGCTGTCGTAAATACAAAAAGTATCCGCCGAATCAGGGCAGCAGAAACAGGGTGTCCATCCCCTGGATCCACCTGCGTATCAGGGAAACAAAGGACTTTTGAACAATATGGTGATTACTAGGACGTTAAATTTTCATTAATGCAACAAAATTTTACCGACTTATAAGGGTATTGTTATCTAAAATACGTCTAGACTATGTGAATGAAACAGCCGAAACATTAGCCATCCAGCGACAACTACAACTTATACCAACCTCGCATCAGCTCAACAAAGGTAGTTCATAA